AGAGGCTGCCCAGAGGGCACTGCAGAATGGAGAAAAGACAAGCGACGATGACCAAACAGCTCTTTCTCTTGGGAGTTTAAAGCGTTGGTAGAACACTAACATTAAGGGCTGTAAAATGGGTGAAAAGAGGTTACCAGGTTTCTTTTCAGTGACACACTAGCTGTTGTTCACTTGCTCTTCCAGGTGCAAGCGGCCCCTCTTGCAAACCCATTCATTCTCGCCTTCCTGTGTATTTGTCTGTTCTCCTGAACTGGAGAAACTGGAACTGATTTTTTTTTAAACTTATTACTGATTCACTCATTAATTAATGAGCAAGTCAAAATCAGAGTTTTTCATTTGATGTTTTGTCAATGTTCTCCAGCTAGAGACCACCAGAAACGTGCACACAGAGGAACAAAGCTTGGCTTACTGACTGGCTGGTTGTTTCACGGGCAAACAAATCCCACGGGGCATCTCAGAAAGTGTTACAAAGCACAACTGTAGGATTTGAGCCTGTGCTGATGGTTTCAGGGAAGGTTCAAAGAAGTGGGGCTTTGCTCTGGACTGGATGCTGTCAGGAAGCAGGGCGATCTCTCAGGGAGCGCAGAGTTCTGCCCTGACTGTGGAGCTCTCGCCTCTGATTCCATCTCCGGGGCAGAGGAGCTGCGTTGACGGCTGGACTCCATGGCACTACGTGTTCACCAGGAGAACACCAAGGCTGGCCGACAGTACCGGCGGCTGCTTTTCCCTCTCTCGTTCTGGAGGAGTCTTGATTTTACCTTCCTTAAACTATCCTGTAATAACACAAAACTCCCCCTCCCTTTTATTGCGAGCAGCTGGGGATACGTTATTACCCTTGTCACAAGTGTCTCTATTGTCTGAGTTCTTTATGGCTAGCAATACAATTTTTATAACCCGAAAAAAACAGTAAAGATTTTTTAAAGTATCCTTTTAATAGTTACCTCTCTCCTTTTGACCGCATCCCTCAGTAAGGTGGCTACATCGTGTCCCACACAGTCAGTTGCCTTAAAACCTTTCGTCCAGGTGATCAAGATTCCCTGAAATAGGAAGGGCAGTAGGACAGTCCGGTGTAATTAATCCTTCCAGGCAGAATACAAATTTCCACCCCTTTCTTCCTGAGTAAACATCAGCTAAGAATTTATAGTGAGGGGGGAGGGTACAGCTCAGTGGTTGAGTGTGTGCTTAGCATGTGCAAGGTCCTAGGTTCAATCCCCAGTACCTCCACTAAAAAAAAAAAAAAGAAAAGAAAAAGAATAAAAGAATTTATAGTGAGATGATGCTGGAACATCTGACATCTGAGGCAAAAACCAATAAAAGACGAATAGTCCGCTGAGGGCCTGCCCACCTCACTGTCCTCACAACGGTCTGGTTTACAATCCCCACTTCACAGATGGAGACACTGAGGCACAGAAGGTTAATGGTGCTGCCCCTGGTATAACCAGCTAGTTCTCCTGAAGAATAGTTTGCCAGCAATGCAAATGGAGAAATGCACATTTTAGTAACACTGTGACTCCCTGAAGTAAACTTCAGGTTTGACTGGACTGTAGTTGTACACATGCTGGGTGTGTACTATGATGACAGTGATGGTACTATATATGAACTGCTTTTAAAAATCACCAGACCTTTAAAAACTACAAAAAAGTTTATGTGGATCCACCTGCTGAGATCTAAAAGGGCTTAAGAGGGAAAAAGCCCCAATCAGCACCGTGACTGGATTAACTGGCTTCCAGAGGCAGGTGACCCAACCCAGCCTCCTTCGTGGTGCCAATCATATGCCTTAAACCCATGTGTGATGTGATGCCAATTCTAGGGCCATACCTCTCCCTGTGAAACACAGAGGCACCCTTGGCTCTTCTAGCATGACAGGCTTGGTCTTGCCTGCACGACTGCACAGTCGGTTCCCTCTGCGTGGAACATCCCCCATGTCCACTGGCAGCACCCAGTGTGGTGCTGGAGCTGCTGGTGTCAGGGCTGAGATCCTCCATAGGACGGGGCTCCCTGAGAGCAGGAACTGGATTCCCTGCTCTCAGCCCTCAGCAGGTGCTCCAGCCCTGACCATCCAGTTTCTGCTAATTTATTGAAGAGACATTTATTAAGCATCTCCTCTGACCGCACGCTGTTTGTTCTAGGGCCTGTGGGGAACACAGGTCTTTGCTCAAGGAGCATACAACGTCTCAGAAAAGAAAGATACTAAAGATGGCTGGAAACTGTGTTAAAAGCTATGATCAGACAACATTACAAGGAACAGGGAACAGTGAGAGGGTGAAATGCTTTTTGCCAGGAGGACCAGAAGGCTTCCCAGATGAGGTGAATGCCTTAGATGACAAGAGAAGGTAGAGACTTAAGATGTACTGGAGGGTGTGCCATAAACCACTGTGACATCTACGCCATTCCAGAATCGAAGGATGACACAGAGGCTGGAGGAGGCCTCAAGAGCCAGCCACCCTGGCCAAGGGACAGTCAGTGCTGCCAGATGCCAGATGCCTGGAGGAAGGAGACTCACCGCATCCAAGCTCGTCTGCTTGCAGGGAAACGAGAACGTGAAGCCCAGAGGCATTCTGGGGCCCTTGATGCCCATGTAGTCCAGGAAGTCAGAGATGCAGGAAACGATGTGGTCAAACAGCTTCAGAAGAAAAGAAGGGATTACCCACGCACCCTCTGGTCTCACACTTTCAGTGCACGTGTCCAAGTACACACGCACACAACACACAGCTTGACACGTGCAGAGCAAGTCCCCCTCTCCAGGATCTTCACAGCCCTTAAGCATCCTAAGCCCAGCATGGCTAAATGCACCTGAAGCTTCCAGGCCACAGGGATACAACTGCACAGCGGCACCTGTCACGTGCAGCTTCACTGATGCCACTGGCCCCGTGTGCAACGCACACACGCCACGGTGGTGTAAAAGCAAAACCGTCTCACCTCTTCCCCAGTGCCCTGCATGATTTCAGTGGGAATGGCGTAGATCTTGTTGTGCATTTCCACCGTTCTCTTTTTCCCACTACGAATTTTCACCAGCAGGACACGGAAATTCGTTCCTCCAAGATCCAGGGCCAAGAAGTCACCATGCTCTGTTGTGGTCAAGGACATAAAGAAAGTCAAGAAGAACTAGTTACTTCTTGGGAGCCAGTAACCCCAAGACTTCAGACTTCCCAGGGAGGAAGTCCCATCTCAAATACAGGGGAGAAGCTGACACATATTCAGCACACAGCTCAGGCTCAGAGAGGGGTGAGCACTAACTCACTGACCACCACAGCCTTTGCACCACATTAGAAGGACAAAAGGCCCCATGGATGAACCGTTTGTCACAATAAACGAATAAACTTTACCAGGTTACTGAAAAGCTTGGCAACAATGACCTGATGTTAGGGAGTCTCATAAAAATTAATCACGTGAGGGGGAGGGTATAGCTCAGTGGTAAGAGTGTGTGCTTAGCATGCACAAGATCCTGGGTTCAATCACCAGTACCTCCATTAAAAAAAAAATTAAATAAATAAACTTAATTACCTCCCCCCACCAAAAATAAAATAAAAAAGATTAAAAAAATTAATCATATGTGTCAATATGTAGAGCGTTTGTGAAAATGGCCACAATCATTCCCCTCCCCGTACACATGCGTCTTTGCGAAGGGACTTTGCAGTTCTCCCCACCAAAAGAGGGCCTCTATTTCCCCCTCCCCTTGGATTTGGCCTGGCCTTCTAACTTGCTTTGGCCAAGAGAGTGTGGCAGAAGCAGAGCTGAGCCACCGCAGCCCAGGCCTCCGAGAGGCTCTGAAGTCTCCCTCTCCCTCGTGGACCCTGCTGGTACCACGTGAGCAAGCCTGGCAGCCCCCTGGAGGATGAGACACATGGCCAGGCACTGCTGCATGCCAGCTGACAGACAGACCACGGCTGGACATGTGAGGGTGCCCCCCATGCCAACTGACCCACCAGCAACTACAGACACACGAATAAGCCCAGCAAAGACCAGCTGGGCCTGGCCCGGGTGAACAACAATAAATCGCTGACCCACAGGCCTATGAGCTATGACAAATGGTTGCTGTTCCAAGCCACTAAGTTTAAGGGTGGTTTATAATGTAATAAGTGACTTCCATGTAGGACACACTCATACCACATTCATCAGCGTCCCTACTGTGCGAAGCTCCAGCAGGACCAGCAGGGTCAGCAGTAAGGGTTGGATGCCAAGCTCCAATCTGCCTGGGTGTGAAAATCCCAGTCTCTGTGCCTCCACAGCCCCTGCCAGGACCTAGGAGGGGGGCACTGGTTTACTGTGTTTATCAGAAAACCTAAAACGATCTGAGGGCCTCGACATTTGCCCAGCTCCATTCTTTTAAGAACACTTTCTAACTCTGCGCAGGGCTGTAGTTTTAGAGATGACACCTGCCTGGGAGGCCAGACCAAGGGAAGTCAACTGCCCTGAGTCACACATGTGCAAGTCAGTGGGAAAAATGGAAGAGAGGTTTGAGTGCGTTTCTAGCTCTTGACAAAATCATGCAACCCCAGTGTAAACGCAACCACCTGAGAAGCCAGCCTCCCTGCAGCCCCACCGTGACTTGGTCACTGGCACGAGAAGCAAGAGGGGCACATTAGCACCCAACAGAGGTCCTCACCAGTCCCGTCTGGAGTGCTCCGGACAAAGGAGGGCAGCATCTTGACTACAGCCTTGTCATGCGTCTGCTTCCTCAGCCCCAATTCCATCTCGGCCCGCATCCTCTTTTTCACCTCCAGCAGCATGTCCTTGGTGAGATGGAAGTGGGCCAAGGTCTCCTGGATCTGCCGGTGCTGCTCAGCCAGGCGGTAGGCCACTGCGGTCACCATAGCGGCCCCCTTGCCGCTGCCACTCTCCGAGAGGAGGAAACGCACGTCGCAGTCGGGCACCAAGCGCCTCAGAGTCTTGTGGAAACGCCGAGAATACCTGGCGGGGGGCAGGGGGCAGGGCACAACAGCCAGACTGAGCCAGACTGTCGGGACCTTTGGAACCCTTTCTTTTCCCACACATTAATCCCATTTTCTACACTTGCTCTTCTCCTTACTCAAGACACACACATCCACTGTAGAAAAGTTAGCCAGTGCAGACAACTGCAAAGGGAAAACAGAAATCGCCCACAGCCACACACAGAGAGAGGCTTCTCATTATCATATGAGTATCGAATACAGAAAATTCAGGGTCCAAAAACTTCTGTCTTCTACCATGATAAGGAGATAATACAGCACGTTGGTCAAGAAAGAGCCCAGTGTTTGGAAGTCAGACAGAGCAGGAGACAAGGGTGAGCTACCCCACTTCCATACTAGGTGACCTTGGAGTCAGTGAGGATGACAGCATCCGGTTGACAGTGATGTGGTAGGAACTTGATCAGTTCATTAAATACTTAGATTAATAGCTGGCGGTAAGGAAGGCCTCATAAAGAACCTCTCTTATTTTTTTTTTTTTAATTTTCACTTGGCCCTTTCCCCCAGCCCCCAAGAGTCTGGATATGTTTTAGTGGTTAGAAGAGGATTTTAAGACAGGACTCAGTGAGACAGAAAATTTTTTCCAAGTTTGTGGTCTGTTGTAAGTATAGAAGGCTGCCTGCCAAAGGAAACTGGGAAAATGGAACCCCAACATGTTAACAGTGGTCAACTCCAGGGGGTGGGATTAAAAATGACTTCTATTTTCTTTGTAATTTTTTGAACCATCTGACGTTTCTATACCAAAAATGTTACTTCTAAAATAATGAGCATTTAGTCAAAGTTATTTTTTTAATGTAATGTTGTAGATAAAGAGTTCTAGAGATGGCTGGTGGTGATGGCAGCACAACAGTGTGAATATACTTAAATCTGAACTGTACAATCAAAAAATGGTTAAGATGCTAAATTTTACATTATGTGTATTTTCTCACTTGTAGAAAAAAAATTTTAATGTGTAAGTCCCTAAACTTCCTTGCCCAAAAATTAGCCAAGAAACTAAGACGGCTTTCATTATCAAGAATTTTACAAATACCATAAGAATACAAAGAAACAAAATTTGACCGCTAACTAGCTAAAACCCCTCCCCTCAGCAACACAGAACTATTTCAGTTTAAGTCAATCTTCATTTAACTGACACTAGAACTGGGTATGAAGATACAGGATCCACAAAGCCACTTCACATGCACGTTACCATATACAGTGGGAGAAATATCTGAGTTCCTGCACAAAAAATCAGGTCACAGGCAGTTATTATCAAAACTCGGTACATAAAGACTTAGAATTCACCTTTAGCCTTTTTTAAAGGTATAAGCCATGCTCTTAAGTGGCCACAGAAGGCTTTTCCAACCAAGGCATCCAACAGACAAAAAGGCAGCATCTATGCGGACTACTTACAACTTACATCTTTCTCTGGCCCTCAGACACAAAGTGTCAACAAGTTGCCCGTTTAAAAAAAAAAAGAAGTAGTATCTGAGTGTTTGGAGGACTTTAGAAACTCACAGGAGCTTCTACAGCAGGAACGTGAGCACTGCACCTATGACCCAAGCACTAGACAGGATGAAGGCCCCTGATGAAATGCAGACGAGAAGAGAATATAAGATACAGACATATTCCACCCAGTGCTCCTGGCAGCTATGGAAATCTCTAACAAGACTTATGAACGAGGAGAGATGACAGTGCAGTGCAGAAGCAACACCAACGAGAATCAGCTGAGGGCCAGATACTTCCCAACTGGGCAACTCTTTCTGCCCAGAACTAGGCGTTGTCTTGTCTGCCAAAAACCTTCACTGGGTGCAAAAGTCTGACCTCTGGAGACGGTCCTTAGCCCAGATGGGTACTGAGTGCCAATTATAGCAAAGGGCAGACTCACTGTGGGTGCGTCTTGTAAAGAGACCCGTCGACACCAACCGTGGTCCGCAGCCTGGGGGTGCCCTTGTTATCTCGGAGGCGGTTCAGGATGGCGCCCAGCGTCGCAGCCACCAGGTTGGCAGAGCGAAACGAGACAATGGTGCACACGTGCTGCACTGCGATACAGTCATCATCAGATGGCTCCACTCCCAGGCGCGTCAGGATTTCTTTGGCATTGTGGAGGCCTTCCTTATTCCTGTGAGGTTAGAGGCCAATACTTGTGAGTTATGGACCACAGCAGGCAGTGCAAAGCCCTGAGGTTTGAAGGTCCTGGAAAGGTGAACTCCATTCACCAGGTGTGTTGCCTGGGATTAAGGCAGTCAAATGCTTGAGAAGAGCGTGAGGAGGTCTCCTCCATAAGGAGTCCCAGGCAGCAGGAGGAAAAACTGCACTAGGCTGGGTTATGACATGTCAGGTACAAGGAGAGAAGAGGACAGGCCAGACTACTCAGTCTCTGAACAGATGGAGAAATAGCTGCTTCCACCCTAGGGCTCAGCAGCCGGGAGACCTAGGGGAAGCTCCTGCTCTTGGAGTCTGAGTTGACCCTGGATTTCTACACATTCCTCCTTGATGTTCTTCAGTCAAATTTTAGTTTGCTGCATACATGCTTTGTATATCTTTTGTTGGATTCATTACAGGGGACTTTATAATTTTATTTTTATTACTATCATAGATGTATTTTTTTAAAGAATAT